ATTTTTGAGCATATTATCTATATACTGAAACATATTATCGTTTGGAGATTTTGCGCAAAAAATATTTGGCTACTCCAAAGCTAGAAGAAGGCACGCACAATACATGTATTAGTTTCCACTTGTATTTTAATCCCTGCACAACTAACCTTCAGCCCTTCATACAATGCACGTGAACGGCAAGAACGTAAGCAAGCATGGTCATATTCTGATCTCACAAATTCTCGAATTCGTTGTAATTTCATTCTCCGCCGCCACTGTTGCCATGACCATGCAAGAGGGTAGGCAAGAATACAAAGAATAATGTGTACTGATCCTTCCCACCATTGATATGTAGCAAGAGCATTGATCTCATCCACAAATGCATTAAATGCACCCTCATATCTGCCATTTCAATATAATATTAGATTGTTAGTTCAAAGATACATAGTTTCCAACCTTGTGTCAATGGGAAAGAAATTCGTGGCAAAGCTTACTGTTCTGAAATGAGCGGCTTACCATTGCACATTACTAATTACCATAAAGTGGCAACATATATAATTAGCAATTACAAAGGGGAAAAAGAAGCGGGAACTTACACAATTTCTTTTACTTGTTCAGGAGGTGTATGAGGAAGATGCCAAGGTTCTCTAAATGTATTTGGACCAGTAAAATACATTCTATGCACGTGATTCTGGGATTCTTCAACTCTGTTAGTCTCCAAAACCTGAGCGTTGGACATGATATCAAACTCTCTATTTTTATTTACCACGAGGAGCACTAGGAAAATGTACTGATTGCATCTCCCCTCCCCCACTAAGTGTGTCACTAACCACATTAACAAAATTAAACATGTAAGGTTCTTCAGAAGATACCTCATTAAGTGACTCCAAGAAAGGAAAGGAGTGATCTATTTGAGAACCCTGTTGAGTAGGAGCAGGGCCTGGTAACTCATCACCCCCAATGAATTTCATCCGTGCAACACTCAGCACTAATGCTAGCAAAATGAGGAGACCCAAAAGCAGAAGACCAAATAACCAGGGCCCTCCAAATGTGTGTATCAACTCTTCAAGAGCTGTATAACAATGTGGCATGTGATCTCTCTCAGATATGCATTTGTAAGGACAAGGTGTTTTAGTAACGCCGCCTGACATGGACAAAAAGAAACATCAGTTAAAATTAAAAGGAGATTCTACATACATGAAATGGAAATAGGGAAGTTCCTGTTGAAGTAAAAGAATAAGAAGGCTTAATTATTGTGTTAGCCTCTCACACTATTTATAATAAAAATACATAAAAGACTTAAATACCCTTTAACAGTTCCGACCCCAATACTTATGACCATGTTATAAAAAACGACCTGGAGAGGCTGGGTCAACCCGTGAACCGGCGACCGGGTAGTAAACCGTTTCCAAGTCTTTAAATTAACCAAACAAGGTGTACAATGTGTGAGCGTTGAAGAATTTATGACCGAGATTCCATCATGGATGTGCTCTAACGCGTGTTAATGTGTTCTTACATGTTATGGCATCTCAAACAATTTAGATTGTTTAATGAGTACTTGATTGTCGAATTTTTAATAATATTTAGGCCTTGTTTGGTCCACATTATTTTTTCATTCTCATTCTTCTACTTATTTTCAACCACACATTTTTCAATAAAATAATATTTTCCATCACATCAATAACTTTTCCTTTTTTTTAACCACAACGGGGATTGTGAGCTTTTGCCCCTGTTTGGGCCACATTATTTTTTTCATTCTCATTCTTTTACTAATTTTCAACCATACATTCTTCAATAAAATAATATTTTCCATCACATCAATAACTTTTCCTTTTTTTTAACCACATATTCCTCACATCAACAGTAAAAATGCATTCTTACCTTCAAAATGTGCACCAAACGGGGGCTTAAGGATTGAAATCGTGTTTCATTCAAATTACAAGTGATTTTGCTATTTTCCTATTGTATGTTACAAATAATTAAGTGTGTCTATAATCGAAATTGCGCCGGTTCAACCGCCAACCCGGGGTTGAACCGGTGACCTCGATGACCCACTTCTTAGTCTGGGTCGACCTCCGGGGTCAGTTTTAATAAATATGCTTATGACTACTAAAAAAGCATTTTAAGCTTTAAAAATGATTTTATGAAACTAGCCATAATCAAGTAGTACAATTTGACAGTAAACAAATTACAACGTAATGAAAAGAAAGACATTAAAGATGACACTAATGTCTCTAAGAATGAAATTGCATCAAAGAAAACTCTGTAGAAAGCGAATAAGCCACTCCATAGGAGATACCTCGGACATAAATATAAACAGCACGATGGGGAAGCTCATAACTTGGACATGGAAAACACAGGAATCTATCAGATCCCGTAACATTTTTATAAGTGCCAGGCGGACATTCCTGCAGAAATTCAAGACAAACATTAACATCAGAAACACATAGAGACCGAAAACCAATTATGTTTCCAGCAACGACTGGTCGACACTGACAAGGAATATGTGTATTGATAAAGGGAATTTCTAAATAAAGTAAATCCTTAAATAATTGCAAAGTCTAAAATAAATTGACAGGCTAGTTCATTGTGGAAACCTATTGCAGCTTAGATATCAAACCAAAAGTACTTGTTTAGTAATGCAAAACCTGAAGCATACACAACAACTACTACCACAGAATAAATTGTGAACTACCTTGCAGAATATTCCATAAAGCCCCATGGGACAAGCTTTTCCACTGACTGTTCCATTTTCGCCAGTTTGGCTTTGGTTGCCACCCAATCCACCCCTATGGTAAACCAGACAACCTAGTGTTAGTGGAGAAGCTTAACCAGAAAATAGGAGATAGAAAGATAATATAACATGGTTTAACATAACTTGTGTATCCATTCACGTGAAGTCAGGATTAAATTGAGTCACTATAAATACTAGAAAATTGCATAGCATAATTTGGACAAGAAACTGCAAGAATTTTGATTCCAGTACTTTAAAAAAAATTATTTAGTGGTTTATAAGCAACAAAGTCAAGAGGCGCAAGTCTAACACTACGTCTAAGGTCACGTGAGTAGCATTTACAAATTCAAAATCAATGATCAGCTAGTTGTATAAGCTAAGACTCAAAATAAGGAAAGCTTCTTCCAACTCCTCAACCAAGACAAACAAAAAATAAGTGCTTTTGCATTGACAAAGCATCATCAAGTAAATATAAATATCTAAGATACAACTCTGAAATCCTTTTTTCCTAAAAATGCACATCTGGCTAGGTAAAATATATCATCAAATACAACAAGTGCCGATTTTGAGTGTTACAATGTGCCTCCCATTATCCTAGCTGCATGCATAATGTGATATCCATAGATGAACTGTTAAAGAAACCACTCCACTTGGAGTGGGCAAGTGGCCTCAAGGTTCCCCTAAGTTTCTAATTAACTGCCTAGGAAAAAATAAATAAAGTAGATCCAAAAATGATATTGGAACATTATGAAGGCGAACTAATACATAAAGAAACTATGCAGACAGTAAAGTTTTCTTAAAGGATTATTCCTGCATCAATATTACCTAAAAATAAATAAAAACAAGAAAGCAGATGTCTGAGGCATAACTTCAATCTAATAAACATTGTCATTCAATATGGATGATCAAAAGGGGAGGAAAATAAAAAGAAAGAGAGCAAAGTCCAAATTAAGGTGAAGAGACAAATGAAAGGACTAGGTAACAGGATGCTGCACACCTGAATTTTACTGAAATGAATACAAACATCCCTCTTGAAGTTACTTCATCCTTCCACATGAATGCATGCATATACTCATAGACAACTAAGTGACTACAGCCTGTTATTTCTTTCAAAGGTCTCAATACCTCATTGCTGAGACAAAGTTCATCTGAAGTTCTGCAGTAGGGATGGTTCCCATTTTACTTTCCTAACATTCAAATTCTGTGCTTCCAGGAAAATTATCTAAAGTTACCTTATACTCATCCTACTAATAGACAAGTCATATTATATTAAAAATCGGAAAACAAAATTTGATTATCTAAGATGAGGAATTTAAGATTTATTCAAACTGGTATAAAAGATGGAAAGGTAAACATAAAAGCTTAATAACATAATTAATTGGTGATCAAAAGTCAAATTCTACAAGATAAATTAGTCTGTGTCCGATGTGGAAGTATTTAAACTAACCCTGTATCGATGCTTCCCTCCACGCTAGCTATTGGCTGGTATACATCACCAATGGAAATGTCTGCCCAATGAAAATGAATCCTCCCACCACCACCGCCGCCACCACCACTATGATTACCATCACCTCCAGCACTTGATAAAATGCCAGATTCACCAAGAGTCAGAGTACCCAGAAACAACAAGATAGTTCCACCAGATCCACCCCCCGGTCCAATATTCCCAACATCTGTAATGATATTCTTCTTTTGGAGATTATCCCTAAAAGTTCCTCCATCAGCTCTAACTGAGCCTTCAACAGATAAAATGTACAATGGATGGTCTGAAGAACCCAACACTGGAATGGAGAAAAGGAAAAATAGCAAGTGAAGGAAAAAGGGGGAGAAGTTAATCTTGGCGTGAGGGAAAAAAAAAGCATGAATTTGAACTGAACAAATAAAATTGCAACTTTCAGAAGCAAATTCGGTATAGCTGTGGTTAAACAGCTCCCTGTCCCCATAAAATTGTATTAGAAGAAGACCTCGAAAACCCAAAAGGTGAAAAATAAAGCAGATAAAAGATGTAGCCCCTGTTTAGTTCAGCTAAAAAATTTATTAAAATCTAAGTCAAAGCCAATAATTAATTTAAACCACACATTTCATGGAACCCACAACTTTTCAATCACACATTCCATTTTATCAAAATATACTAAAAATCTGATTTTTATCTTAACCAAATAGGGGCATAACACAATCACGTGACTGTGTCGTATAGGGCATCCGGAAAACAGTCAAAAAGGCTTGCAAAAGAGAGAGGAGAATAAGAAGAAAATCACTGAAGACACAACGTTTGTGACGCTAAATAAGATAAATGCATGCAACTCTGGAACAAATTTTGAAATTAACATGTAGCTAGTGTGCGCTACAAAATACTCTTTAACCTTTTAATGCCCACTCATTTCTTGATTATGAAATGCCACCATAACAATTAATTACTCATCAAATATCTACAGCAATTTTCTTTATCAAAGAGAAGCCCAATATCAGAAGCCTCGCCCACAGAAAATGAGCAATAAGAACTTAAAATCAAAAAAAAAATTCAGGCTGGCAAAGAGATGATAAAATCAGTTGAAGAGAACTATGCTTTTTATATTGACTATTTCAGAGTTACCACATTAAAAGTAAAAAAAGAAACCGCATTGACCAGCTCATAGACTGAGCTAACCTAAAATACCACCACCAGCAGTCGACCCTGCCAAGCTATCATTTCCGCTTCCACTACCCAATTCACAAGGCAAATCGGCATCTCCATATGATATGCCACCCTCAATGCAGCTTCCATTGTAACACCCCATTCCACCTCTACCGCCATGACCGCCACCACTGCCAAGACCATTACTCAAAACTTTTCCTTGACCCACACCTCCAGTGCAGCCTGCATAAACAACAACCTAAAATGACAAATATAATATGATTTAACCACGGGATGCATACAACAGAGTCTCCTACACAATCAATGATCTTATAATTAATATTTTACAAAACGAAAAACTCTTGTCACTGAGAAAATCTCTTATCACTGAGAAGATCTTCAGAATCACATTCCACATTGAAAAATTATTATTTCCTTACGCTAAGCAGTAATCTTTTTTTCTAAAAATTCCTTGACACTATAAATTATAAGAGAGATTCATAATAGATTTATATATGTATCTATAAACATAGAGGTAATTGTTAAACTTTGTAAAACAAATTTATTACGTCTTCTAGCACAATACCAACTCATTATATTCTACAAGTACAATGCAAAAACATCTTCTTTTGTGAAGTCAAGCAAGAAGAACCTCGCCAGTTCAAACTGACGGTAGTTTATCTTCTAAGCTTTAGGTGACACTTTGAGGTACATATTTATCACTTCTAACAGCCAAAGATGACTTCATAAAATATATACTTATTTTGTACCACGGGACCAAAAGCAAAAGTCAAACTTAAGTATGTGAATTTTTTGTGTATGAAGTATGAACTACAATATTGTCATTCGATTGTAGGTTTCCATTTGTACCTTGTACACTAGAACGTTACAAGATCTTTTGATTAATCAAATTATTATGAAATTTTATAAATATGTCCAATAATTGATAACCATTTCATTGCCTTGCAATTTAAACAATTAAGAATCTGTAATTTAAAGAAAATGTTAACAATTCAATAATGTATAAATAATATGGGAAAGTATCCAGTTAACTAAGATTTGTGTATTTAAAGGAAGAAAGAAAGTACAGGGGAAATAGAATGCTGTCGAACGGATTCAAAGAGATTGGAACCATACCCCTATCAGATGTGTTTATCATTCCAGAAGAACGCACAGTAATGGTTCTAGCTCTATGAAAATGAACAACAGATCCTTCAATGAAACCTTCAACAAGGATATCCTCAACTCGACAGATCTAGAGTACAAACATTATATAAGAATTTTTTTGCAATTCTACACCAGTGTGAGCATGACAATATGGAGAAACAATTCAAGGAAATAAGCAATAATAGCTAAATACAAATTCTTGTGATTTTTATACACTGAAAATGTTCACCTGTAGAGTAAACGACAGAGAAGAATTCACATTGCAATCCTCAGGTGGATGAAGCAGTTCAATAGGGCAATCTTGTGAATCACAGTTGAGTTTTGGCACCCTACCAAGCACCAAAGGTCATTCTTCAGCGAAGTCAAAAGCAGCACATCTCAGACATGATAGAGAAAACATAAATGCTATAACTTACACAGCATTATCCAAGGCATTTTCTAAAGGACCGCGCAGAACAGATCCAGGTCCAATCTTCATGATGATATGAGAACCCCAAAAGAAGACAACTCAAATAAGCATACCACACATTACATACACTAACTACAACTAGATAACTTAATTTTCTAAGACAAAAATGTTCAGTAAATGCTCAGGTTAGGCAAGGTGCCGATTTCTCCCAGAGCCCAGGCACAATGAACACCTAAACCCTGAACAAAGTCCGACATGTGAAAGCCTGACTTGAGCATAAAGAAGAACAAGAAGTTTCTGCAACCCAAAAAAGTTGGAAAATATCTCAATACAGAATAATTAAGCCTCCATTTGGGAAAAATTTATAAATAGTTTAATTTAGTTTCAAATAGAATGAGTGGTCGATGAGTAGATAGTACTTATGGGTTCATTGAAATGTTTGGTTGAAAATAAAGTTTGACCATTTATAAATGATTTATAAATCATTTATAAATAAAAGCATATTTGCTCGACAAGAAAAAAAACCTAAACAAAAGAGATACAAGAGAAAGGTCATGCATGATTGGTTTCGGATCCAAAATAGAACGATAAAATTGCTGGGAATGCATACGAAAGAATCCTTCTCTAGAGCATGTACCAAAACTAAGAAATTTCACTGATGACACTACTAGTCAATAAGCGCAGAAACGTCAAGGTCATGCATTAGTAATTTAAGATCTGAAATAGAATAATGGATTTGCTGGTGAATGTACATCACAAAAATCCTTCTCTGCAAGCACATATTACCAAAACTATGGAGTCTCATGGAAAACATCATAGCCAATCAAATAGAAATGAGGTAATGGTGAATACTGGTGAATTGCTGGTTAATCTGTACCAAAAATTCTTCTCCACAAGTATATATATCAAAAATATGACAGATGACATCATACTGCATAAAAATGGAAGTTTCTGCTTACATTGATGCTATAAAACAATGCTAATACAAGACGTTGGGCTTCAATGCAATCGCCTGGTCCTGATAAATTTAATAAACCTTGCCCATGAACTCCCAGATTTGCATTTGAATGAATAAGAGATGACTCCTGTGCAAGCAAAATAGAAAGCAAGTTATGTACGAAGGCCAAGAGCAAGAATTTATTGGAAACAGGGAGCCAGTAGCACACCTTGAGAACTATAAGATTACTAGCTTCAAGTAGTGATGTCTCGAGATTTTCATCTCCACCTCCATCTATTAGCATCGTTGAATTCCACATCAGAAACATTTTGATAGACATGCGAAGAGCCCCAAAAACCTGGGGAAAAAATGGGAATGAGAAAAGCACATACTTCTTGAATCATTAACTAATATAATGCATCACATTGAAGAAATAAAATGCTGGGACAAGCCAGAGAAACTAGATTGTTGATAAGAAACAGATGCACAACAATTTATTAAGATTGAATGGTCGCACATGCAAAGAAGCTTCTAAAATATGACCGTGGAACTCCAAAAGGGTAGGACGATGGAGAGAGCAACGCAACTGGAACAAAAATAATGTGACCACAGAAAAGTAACTGCATAACAAAAAAACTACTTAAGCCCCTTCCTGATCAGCTTTTTTTCCTGTACAATTGGCTTTTAGTTCTTTCGACCAAACTTAAGTGCTTCCACATCATTTAATAATTTAAAGACTTCACTAGCAAGAGAGAGCTAATAACTCTTATCTATTCACCAAAATCACAGCAAAGCCCAAATAAGTTCCACTGATTTTTGGGTGCGACACGAAGTGGAAACCCTGGATTACTGCTGCACAATTGCCTGGAATGGATGAAGGAAGAAGCTATTTATGTATCTCTTTCAGACTATTTGTAATTAAACTCAGCAACTGAAGTATATAAACTGTGTATTTTTCGTATTTTTCTATATATGTGTACTTAATGAAGAACAAGTATATAAAATGAAATAGAAATGTGAGCTTTCAAAAGGCTCATTCTAACTTCACAAATCTCAACCAACTTTTGCCTGCCCGAAATGAGCGGCCTACCCCTGCCCGAAACACAACTAACTGACTAACTGCTGTTAAGCTTGTGAAGACTTGAGCATGTTGGTAAAAGGTTATAATTGCTTATAAGCTTGTCAAACTCTATTTTTATCCACAAATTCCATGAGATCCACAACTTTTACCTACTTTTTAACTACACATTCCTTTGGACCCACTATATAAGAACTTATAAGCTTAGCCAAGCAAGCACACAATTCTCTGCAACTGAGGTCACGATATCAATGAGGATCTAACGATACTCTTCAACCCCCTTCCCCCTTCCAATGCCACCTCTCTCCATAAGCTGCACTCCAACACACAGAAGAGATTGAAATTTAAAAAAAAAATGGAGGAAAAAGGATAACCATACTTCGAAACGACAGCCCAAAACCACTAGAATCAGCAAAAAGGCCAAAAGGAAAAGGCTGCCATCATCCCCAAAAACCTCCCCAAATCCCTCAAAATACCAATACCACAAAAAACCTTAAATCAATCATAGTCCTGACATTGTTTTTACAGAAGAAAAAGGATAGGGATGGTAGGGGGAACGCTGATAGTTCTAAACGTTAGCGTGTTGTGGTACTTAACGTTAGTGACGCAAGCGCCAGCTAACGAGGTAATTGCTGGGGTTGGAAGAAAATTGTGGTGGTTGGTGAAATGGGGGGCAGTATTCAGTTTCAAGGCTTGGGTCGAATGAGGCTGATGGTGACAGAAGAGGGGAAGGAGAGACGGAGAGAGAGTAGAGCTATGCTGAATCCAGAGAAGAACAAGAACAAGTGGGACCCATGGGGAAATTCAAAGGTTGAATGGTTAGGCTAGTTTCTGAATTGAGACGCCATTCATAAGTGGGTAGCAAGCATAAAAAACACTGGTTTTTGGTAATATGTCCTTTTAAAATAGAAAAGGAATAGAGGCCATTTAAATTACGAGTAAGCGCATCCACATAATACAGTTCACAGAAAACAACAATGAACCAATCTTTCTTATTCACCAAAAGAATCTACCAATTTTATGACCATGTAAAAAGTTGTAAACATATAACAAAAGAAGGGGCATGTAAAGGAATCGAAATTAAATGGAGAAGGGAAAAAGAAGAATTGCCACTTACTCTAGAAATTAGCAAGCGACAAAGTCTTAATAATGAAAACAATGATAAAAGGCATTATGCAGGAAAATTAAAATTATTTGCCACAAATCAGACATCCACTTACTCTAATTACAGAATCACCCATTAACAGCTCTTCTGCCAATAATTCAAATTCTGACATCGAATAATGTGCTAGCCCAAAGCTTAACACTCCACCGCACAAAAGGCTGATTGTTCCTTGAACCTTTATGATGCATCATGAAAGATGGCAGAATTAGATCCCAATGCAAGAAAATGAAAAGAACAATACCTCCAGATAAATGAACAAACTACACTACAAATAGCCAAGATATGGAAAGCAAGAAGATGACACACCCAAAGGGTTCAGAACAATCGAAAAATTCAGAACGCATACAACTAAAACAACAACAACAATAAACTCCCCGTTCCCAATAAATTTGGGGTTGGTTGTGTCAATCCTTTTACTTCACTCCGTTTGGTAGATCACTACATCTAGTGAAAGATTAAAGCAGTTGGATCCTTTGCAACCAGCCAACCACAACAGGCATTTAGTATGGTCCACTCTCCTCTTGAGAACACAAACTAAAAGCATTCGTACCTACTCAAAATCCAGTATACATAACTCAAAAGAACGAGAGCATAACTCAACAATTATATAGATTAAGATCTGATGAGGGGAAAATTTGGTAGAATCCATCGTTCAATTATAACAAGATAGATCAAAACCCATTTTGGGATATGTAACGAGGTTCAAAAGTAAATATGTAAAAAATTTACACCACCATCTATAATATATTAAAATAACTATATTTTCATTACACTCCTCTTAGATGCTATAAAACCTCATTATCATTTTCTCATATTTTAGCTTTCTTAGTGCATGATTGTCAAAGCTTAAGTTTTAATTTAAACTGGTCAAAATACTATTTATCCGCACATTTACCTCGGCTTACTAGCCACTTATTACCCATACATTCCGTAATACCCACAACTTAAAAGCACTTAAAAAAATTTAAGCTTTGAAAACATAAAAAATCATTAATTGAATCTCTCTCCCCCATACACACAGAAAAAGTTATCCATGTATTTCTATTATTTTATTTGTATATAATCTTTATAAAGGTAACTAATGTCATCTGAAGGCATATTTATATGGTATTGATTGTTCGAAGCTTTGAAATAGTTAAAAAGATGACAAAATGGTCATTCATTGGAAATGCAACCCACCTTTAGAAGCTAACACATTGTGTGTGACCTGACACAATTCGATAAAGATTTGTTTGTTAAAAATTGTTTTTGCTGTTATTTTTTTTAGTAAGAATTTTTCAAATGTTGAAAAATTATTGTAACTATGATTTTTTTTTTTTAAACTACCAGATACTTCGAAGGTCTGTCTCCAAGAAATAAGTAGCCTATTTTTAACATCATTCAACTCAACACTTTTAGTTAACATAATATATTAGATTCTTTAAGATATTACAGTCTCAGAGTTCACAATAGTTTTATTAACACTTGAATAACATTAAATTAACCGAATCTATGACCATTTCAAAACTCTATACTTTCAAAATAATAATAATTAAAGTTGCAACTGTCCACAATTAAACAATATAACCGAGACAGGAGTAATTATATAGTCTCATGGGTTCCAATCATTTTTATGTTCTTTGCAATAACAACTTTTTTTATCTCCTTTTTCAACTTATGCACTTCTTTCATTTAAATGATTCTTTTTATTCATCTCATTCATTTGAAACTTAGGCCCCGTTTGTTTCTGATTAAAATCAAATTTTAATCTAAGTCAAAGTCAAACAATCAATATTAATCACATCTTTCATAGGTCCCACAGCTATTCAACCACACATTTAAAAACTTCTATCACAATTTATTAAAAATCTAATTTTTATCCCCACCAAACACTTTCTTAATTAATTGACAGAAAGGATCAAGTTATTCAAGATACTAATTGTATCTTTTCATACTAAAGTAAATAATTCTGGACCCAAAATTTGCAATTCAATCTTGAAATTGAAGCCCTTTTCATAGATGTTTCATATCATATTCTAGAGATTCTTGACTAAATTTTTTTTTTTTTGTTAATATTTCTAGTGTTCGGATGTCAAAAAATAAAATATTGAATAAAGTTATCTAGCACCAATGGTGCTGGATCACCAATCTAGATGGCAATGACTCATGTGACATTGTATTCAAGTGAAATTGTAATTTAATGTCATCCAGTTGACACCAGTAATCTTGAATAGCATTACTCTAAAATAAGTAATTTAAATTCTAAGTCTTAATGAAGTTTTTGGTTAGAAAAAGAAACAGGTTATAATCTGCCAAGTAGGTTTTCTTTCTTGACATGGATTTTCTAAGACTGTTTAGGGACAAGCACCAGTAATAATTGAACCAATGCATGGGTGCTTCATCGATGCAGAGAACACAAATGTCTCAAACGGGAGAATTTACATACAAGGTAAAGAATGCAAGAAGGGGATGGATGTGTATATATAATGCCAAATAATAAAGCAGAGAGCTAAGGTATGCGGGTAACTGAAAAATAGGTGCACATGAAAAGAAGAATGGATCATGTCATACCATAACAAAATTGAAAAAAATTACACGTGTCATATGACAGACCAGAAGGGAGCAATTTTCAGCATCTGATCTAAACAAGTTAACTGAAAAAGGATTGAACATCAAACCACGAGGCTAAACACATTCCTCGTCATGCAAGAAAGTCAAAAGGATACATTTTCGCAATATTCACCAAGATGGTATAAATTTCCAGATATCAGGTAATAAGACATAAGAGCTGTACAGATTTCCAGCTTCCTATAGTGGATGCAGGAATAAGCATATGAACATTACTGACCTGGACACGACTCCACAGCAAAGGAACGGAAGCCTTTGCCTGATTACGTATATAGACATTAGTCAAAAATGGTTGAGGAAATTCCATGAGAAGGGTTTCTGTATATGTTGATTTGTTGTGATTGTTGACTGTAAGGCTGCGAGTAACAGCATCATAAAATGTACCCGCAGCACCTGCATTCTCCGGGCAGCCAAGACTACTGCCTCCTGAAAAAGACATGAGTGAAGCTTGCATTGGCTCAAAATTTTGGTGTAATTGAAAGACCATATGTTTTCAAGCATTTAACTATATACAGCTAGACATAAATACAACCTGATATGCATCATTTGAATTAGGCATGTAATTAAGATAGAAGCAGAAATTTTTTGGGCCAATTTCAGATAGAAAACAATAAAAGTTGACCAATACGGCTGTGATCAATAAGCAGGGCATGAAAGGAAGTTTAATCTCATTTTACTCGTTACTTGGCTTCGCCTTTCTGCAAAACCAAACAATTAAAACAGAGAAATCAATTTATTTCCAATTTCCCCTCTTCTAACTCTTAATTTTTGCTCTGAATCACCAAGCAAAACGAGGATCAAACTTTCTCACATGTTAACAGAATTGATAAGAGACTACTGAATCATAAATAGATGAGGTGACCGTTTGAGCTCAAGGAGATTAAAGAATGGTCTACCCTTGAATGGAACAACTGGGTCATCAAATACCCTCAAATAAGCTTAAGCCGTGTCTCGTATGAAATACCGAATGCACATGTGCCAAGAACATGGCACCCATTTAGTCCTTGTTTGGTGAGGATTAAAATCAGATTTTTAGTAGATTTTGATAAAAGAAGATAAAATGTGTGGTTGAAAAGTCATGGATCCCATAAAATATGTGGTTAAAATTCATTGTTGACTTGGACTTAAATTAAAATCTAGACGGGCTTAATTTTCAAAAACTAGTACACATATCGTTTATAAACTTCCACCCCACACCAAAAAAAAAGGGAGAGAGAAAGAGAGAGGAAAGGAAAGGGAAAGGATCAAAATTGCCCATAAGTGGACTGGTGGACATCATCCACAATAATTTTATGTGTATCTGCAAGCAGGCAATCTGGATGGGCTAACTTATTATTACAGCAAAATCCCTTGACGGCAGACTTTCCCATCTTTGCCATTTCCAAGTTTCTAAGGGGAAAGGGTAGTCCAACGTTTACTGGGCAAAATGGTTAACACTTGTTGACAAGGAAATAAGAGGTAAAGACGAAAACTGTAGCTACAAGACAATATTAGAAGACATGTCAGAGGTCCTACCATTTACAGATATCTCAGGTTCATCGTGCCTACTAAAAATATCGACAGAAACTCTTCCACCGCCACCTCCAGCAAAACCATTACCCCCACAAGCACTTATGCTACCAGTTCCAATCCTGCAGTTCACAAAAAACAAGGGGGATTAAAAACGCATCAACTTCATATCTACGGCATCTCTCAGTAAATCCGAGTATCTAATAACACGACTAATCATTTTTTTCTATATCAACCAACAGTAATGAAGTAGACAAGAATAAATTAATATAAAAACTGAAAATGGGAACTAGATAGATGGTTGGTCTAAGGAAGAGAATAATATGAGCTACATTTTGATCACCTTTCCTTATCCTTAGAACAGTAGGGTTTGAAGCTAGCGAAGTCAATCAATCCAGCATTGTTGAATAAAGAAGAATGTTTTAATTCATGCTTGCTGGTGTCCCCGAAAAAAATGTCAATGATCTTTATTTGGAAAAGAAGTATAATTCATGTGATAGACCTCAATTTTCCATTGAATACAGTAGAAAAACCACGTCATATTTAAGAACCTAAAAGTTCAAAGCTTAGATGATCTTGTTGTACTTGAAAACAGTGCATGAAAGAAGAATGAAAATTCATGGACATCCACATAATCAAAAGAGTAGGGAGTATGATAGATATCATATCTTCAAACATTGGAAGATTATAAAGTTTCTAGTACAATAATGGGTACCAATTTTTGTTATCGACATTGTGGAGAAATGAGAAAAAATAAAACCCTATAAGCTTGAATAAAAATGAAAAATGACAATAAAAACCGTAGTATCATGGACTATGTACTTCCACTTGACTGACTATGACAGAAAGCATCTAATTAACCCCACGACATGAAGACGAAGTGAAGCTAACTGTATGCATTGTCAATGCAATAATCACATTCATAAACGTAATGACGACAGTTTTACTTATATATTGGCCTCATAGATTCCTGTTACAGTCACTTTGAATCAAATCACTTTAGAGTTACAAATTTGCACAATGATAGCCGATCATGAGACCTTATCCAGTTGACATTCAGACCAATACCGGAGAACAGTATTCTGCAGCCCACATTAGCAATTCCAATGCACAAGATAATCCTAAAGTGAGCCTCAGCAATAATAAGTCATCAGTCCAAACTAAAACTAGAATCTACCAGCAATATTATATGGGCTTTACTAAACTCATATTTAACAATATATTTAATGAAAATGACAATAAGAGGAAAGAAATTTTTACATCCTATAAGCCTTGATGTAGATGCTGCCACCAGAACCACCTCCACCTTTGGTACCCCCATCTCCTCCTTCCACCAAAACACTCCCATTCAACTCCAAAAGCCTCAAAATCATTAACAATACCCTCCCACCTCCACCACCCCCATAGTCAATTTCTCGACTCGTGGTCCCACCCCTGCTTCCATAACTCCAAGGTTTTAGTAAACTCGACCACGAGTATGCATCCCCACCCCACACGTCCTCCGGGAGTTTACTTGTGTCTGTTAAACAAGCTGCCCCTCTGCCTCCGTGTCCCCCACCTGCCCCATCAACCCCCTGGGGGGTCCCACTAGTCTGAGGCGGCGGCGACCCAGCTAATCCAGTAGTATTCAAAGCTGAATTATTCCCAAAATTAGCATTATCTGCAAACAACTCAAAAGTACCACTTGCTATTGTCGAATTCTCTCCCAAAGTGAAGTTCCCAGTAACATTTATCACAATTTCACAACCAGAAAACGAGGAACAGCTTATGTTAACATTTGGAAGAATTACAAGATTGCCCTTCCCTGCTATGTAGACGTCCTTGGAGAGGTTCAAATTAGAAGCCATTTCGCAGGTAGTATCCAAAGAGCCGATGCCGCCAAGATCGTCATCGCAGGAAAGCGAAGGCGGGTGCGGCGGAGGAGGAGGCGGCGCCGGCGGGGTGTAGTCCTGATGGAATAGCAGTAAATCCGAGTCGAAATCGGAGTCAAGCGAAGCAGCTGATACCCAAACTGAATTTGAACAGGGATTTCCCAGTAGAAACAATAAGATTAACAATAATAAAACTGGATGCAAATTACTGAAACAACGTGAAGAAAAAGCCATTGACCAGTGAGAATAGTCATCACATCGAACAGTAAAGAAGGGAAGAACTAGAAACAGATTTCATCTGTAGAGTAATTAAATTAAAACCCTCGAAAATTCACCGGGAAAATTTGAGAAGCTAACAAATTTTGTGAGAGAGAGAGAGAGATGTAGGTAGCAGTGTGTATGTATAGGTTGGGGGAAGGAAAGGACTAGAAAGGAGGAGCGCGAGGCTCGTGCGTGCGTTGGGGATGGGGCAGGTGAGTGAGTGAGGGGAAGGTGGCAGCACGATTTAGCAGTTATTTTATCTTTCCTTTTTTTTATGCAACTACTTTTTCAGAAGGGAACTCGTTGTACAGTATAGAAAATTGCAGAAATGGTCCTCAATTTATTGTCTGTATAATATATTGGACCTTAATTCATGATTTTAGCTCTATTATCAGTTCTAACAAAGAAAAATGTTTAATTTTGTGTTAAATTATTGTGTGTTCTTTCTAAAAATGCACTAAACTTTAAAATTCTATGGACTAATCTAATTTGAGACCAATAATCTAGTGGCATAACTTTGGACTTATGGAGGTAATGTGGTGGTTTAGTTGAAATTTTGATATTTCCATGGCCCAGGCTAAGGTTGAAAGTTAATTTAAAAATTTTGAGGACCAAATGAAATTGGAGCAATAAGTTGGGGGAGCAAAGTGAAATATTCCCATTTAAGCATTTGCTGTTATTTTTCTTGTGGTCGAGGCCTCATTTTTCTCCTCTCGTGTCGATTTCAACATTCCAGCTCTTACTAGGGAGCAGCTGAGCACGAGTTTTTAAATTATTTAAGGAAATCATAATTTTCTTAAGAAAATCTACTCTTTATGTAATCCAATTGAAAAATAGGAGATTTTTTCTTTTTAATTATTTAATTTTCAACTTTTAGAGAATGTTTGGCAAAACTTAAATCATTTAAGCTCATGTTTGATATAGATAAAAATCAAATTATTAGTAAATTTTGATAAAAATTAACGGGATACGATTGAAAAATCGCGAGTCCTATGAAATGTGCTATTAAAATTAATTGTTAATTTTTTTTTACTTGATTTAACGGGACTGAATATTTGTTTTGTCCACGCATTTTTGCAAAACTCGCAACTTATTGTATATTTTTTGTAAAGTACTTAAAATTACTATCAAAGAAGTAATTATTGCTACATTTTCACAACTTAAAATTAATGAAAGAGTGTAAAAAATAGTTGTGTGCCCATAAAAGGACATAGAAGTAGGCGAACAATACTACTGTTATAGAAAAAAAATATCTGTAAAAATGACAGAACACATACATGGGGGTGGGGCCCATTTTTTATAATAATATTTTATTCACATGGGGCCCACTCCCATGTGAGTATTCTGACATTTTTTACAGATGAACTAATTTTGTACAAATGGTTTAATTGGAGAAAGAAGAGGAGCGTCAGAGATTTGGCTCATCATTGTGTGGGTAGTTTGTCGAAATGTGTTGGATAGTGCCGTTTGAAACTGATTCAGCACGGAAATTGTTAACTAAGCAAATCAAGCGATAAATAAACTTTATTCTCGATTTAAACTTTTTCAGATTTCAATGGATGACATCGAGTGCCTCATTTTTCAAAAAAATATTTTTCTCGCAAATCATTTTCAATATATATTTTTTAAATAAAATAATTTTACACATAAATTCAATTTTTTCCCTATTATTTAACCACGCATTTTTTTTAAAAAAAAATTATTCTAAAATATATTATAACCCAAAAAATGTGCTCAATCTCTTTTCAAAAGTAAAAATTTATATGCATTTAAACACTCAGGTTTGCAAATTAAGAACTCTCTGGCAAGGGATTAACTTCTCTTTACTCAATTTTTTTAGTTTTCAAAAATATTCATCCACGATGCAATTTAATAGAGACTTCGTCAAACTGATAAAGCAGAGAAGAAAATAGACATCATCTAGAGCTCCGTCTAGATTCACAAATCTTGTAAGGAGTGATTCAACAAAATTGATATTTGCTTTCTAAATTTACAATTTTTCCTTTATTTAAAAACTAACGACACCTATATTAGCCCTTGTTTGAGCCCCATTTTGGGTGGGGTGGGGGGATATATTATTGAATAGTGATTTTTGAAGAATTTGTGGTTAAAAATAAAAAATAAATTTTGATTTACGTGTAAATTTATTTTATTGAAAAATATGTGATTGAAAATGAGTTTTAAAAAAATAATTTTTTGATAAAATGAGGTTCAACCAAGGACTTAGTTCATAGAATGTATTGGAGACTAATTGTAGACTTGAACGTTTATTTATCATCAACGCTACCAATATAGCAATACATATACTGCATTTGAGATGCTCTAATGAAAGGAGTATGACACCAAGACTTGGTGAATTAAAGTTGAGATCATGAGTTTCGCTAACAGCATGTAACGAATAATGTATTTTCGAAAAATCAATAGAATGTTATATACAGGACACATGAGTCAAGAATTATCTGAATTTAGGTTAAATCACTTGAACTTGAATCCTATAGTATCATCACATCTTGTACATAGCTCGACATCAAAACAAAAGTCACAATTGAATTTAAGGTTTGTTTGTCTCCCATTATTGAGAGAAAAATAGAGTAATGAATAGTATTTTTTTAGAGAATGTGTGGTTGAAATTTAAAATAATTTTATTGGTTTGTGTGTAGAATATTTTATTTGGTGAATGTGTGGTGGAGAATCTTATTATAACAAATAATTTTTTGAAATAATGATAGACAAACAGGGTTTTAATTTGATTAGGTCTACAATAGAAAATAGAGTCAACAAAACCTCGCGCATTTAATCAACATCTACCTTCCCACGACGCGTGCGCGCGTACCCCAGTGCATGCATGCATGCTATCTGAGTTCAAATAGGTCTAACAAATTATGTACTTGTGAACACAAAAAAATTGCTTATTTCTTAAATGAAAGATACTTATTACGTAACTTGTCTTTATCTTTAATATATTGATATGTAAATTATCTTTATCCACATTATTTTAATAGTATTACAACAATACCCTTATGAAATTTTGATATGATTTAATTTTGGTAGTTATTTCGGGTCGATCCTGCCAATTGTCACACACCTTTCGAGAAATTAAGATCGAATTTCAAGTTTAGTTTTGATATTTCATGATGTTCTCAAGAAATGCTATTGTTCATTTTACATTTGTATGATATGATTTTGATTTACGAAACTTTACTCGAATTGATTTCTGGTTGGAGCTATTGAATTTTAGCCGACCGAATAAGGTTAACTTCTTGTCCATTATAACTTGTTTGTTAAAATTATAATAACAAAATGACATTATTTCTACCATAGATGTAAAATAGTGAATGTCTAATATTTGAAAGTTGAATCGGGTTGAAATGTGAATGATATGCCAAAAAAAAAAAAAAAATTCCAACTAGAAAAAGATTTTTTTTTCGAAATAGCCACCATAAAAGGACAAGACGATTATGAGCTGGGAAAAAAAAAAGTATCAATAAAGTAATTAATACTTAATTGATTGAAAATATGACTTGTGGGTCCCCTGCACTAAAATGAGTAAAACATAAAAGTTGGTAAGCATTTACGTAAGGAATATTCGGAATCATTTGAAAAAATAGGCAAAACTAAGTTATAGAGACATCGTGTCCTTTTTATACTTAGGGTCCGTCTGATTACAAATGTGAAATTTAAGTGGAAAGAAAATGAATTATAGGAAATTCAATTGCTTAAAATTTGTTTTATTTGGAATTGTAATTAATTGTATTTGATTGGTGTAATTTTTCACCTAGAAAATATCGAAAATTTGGTATCCGTTTGACTTCGTTTTTCATGGAAATTGTCCATTAAAATAATAATTTTTTTTTTACCATTGGGTCTACAATTTGTTCTCGTTGCAAAAAAATTGAAAAAAAGTTATCATATCAAATATCATTCGCTTGGCTTTGTTTTGCATGAACATTGTCAATAAAAGTAATAATTTTTTTTTACCACTGTATTTAGAATTTTTTCCAATTGTCAAAAGATAAAAAAAGGTTATGCTGGATTACACTTCTCTCACATGGAGGGGGCCCACAAATATTTTATTGTGTGTGGACCTCCCTTCATGTGAGAGGGGGTCTAATCCATTAGGTAATGGATTGTGTACATTTAGATTAATCAAAAAAAAAAAAAAAACTACCTAAAAGGTGGGAAAACCAATTCACCAAATGGCAGTGCTATGTGTACACAATGATTTACATCCCCCCCCCCCACATGGAGGGGCCCGCACACAATAAAATATGTGTAGCCCCCACCATTGGGTGTACACATAGGTTAATTCTTCATCAAAAATCAAGAAAATCAGTCACGTGATGGCAAAGTAAGAAAATGATTTCCATAGAAAAAAGAGTCATCAAACAAGCGAAAAGTGAGAAATGGAATTTGGATTCCATTTTCCATGGAAAAAATTGGTCAATCAAACATAGCCTTAAAAAAACAAAGAAAATAAAATAAATTAAGGCGCACGCGGACGTCAAGCACGTTTGGTTAAGTTTAAAAAATAAAATTGCTTTTAAATATTTTTTATCTTCAAACATATTTGGATAATTTAATTTGAAGTAAAAGCCTTTTTCGAAAGCAGCTCTTATTCTACAACCTAGATGAATAAATTACTTATTTTAAATTTTACTAATAACAAATTATTTGATTCTGCTGATAGATTTGAAAATAAGTTAAAAAGAGTTTTTTAAAGGAAGAATTGCAGTTGAGATCCCAAACGTTTCAAATTATTATATATTATACCCAAACTTTTTATTTTTTGCAGTTGGAGTCTCAAGCCTTTCATCTCTATCGCGATGGAGGACATGTGGATGAAATTCAACCATTTTATCATCAGTTGACCAAAAGTCAACGATCTGATCAAAAGGTTTTTTTTCCTTTGATTTTTATTTTTATTTAGTTACTTTAATTATTTATATGGGACAATTTGGTCAGATTGTTAACTT